TAGTAGTACTCTCTCTCTCTCTCTCTCTCTCTCTCTCTCTCTCTCTCGCTCTCTCTCTCTCTCTCTCTCTCTCCCCCAAGGACAGGTATGCCACTCTCTGTCTCACCCTCTTCTCTTATGTTTTAATTTTCAATCTTACGATTTTAAATAATAATAGTAGAGGGGGCCACGCCTTAGCCATTGTTAACCCTAAGCTCCCTATCCCATTGTGCTTCATGCTCCCATGTTTTGAGTAAGGGTTTGCCTAGGCTTTTCATTCAATAGAACTCAGTGATAGACCAAGATCCGGTGCACCAATGTTGAAAGGGACCCAATGTGGGGTGTACAAAGTCCTTGGAGGTAATCCTTGGCAGTTATTCTGGCTTTTCATCTTTTTCATGCTTTCTTGTTCTCAAATCTTCTTGGATGTAATTATGTTATATGCAATGAAAGAAGTTTTGTGTGTGGCAAGCAAGTAAGAATCCTCTTCTTTCTTTATTATCTTTACTATCCGTTCTATGTAATTGAAGAAGTTTTGTGTGTAACAAGCAAGTGAGAATCCTCTTCTTTCTTTATTTTCTTTACTCCCTTTGAATCAAAGTTGTAACTCTTTATTTTTTAAAAAATTTGTTAACTTAAAAAGTTGTAATGCTTGGACACATGTAAGTGTTCCAGCCGGTATAATAAAAGAAAAAGAGAAAAATTTTAAACTACACATATTTGGCTAGATCACATAGTCCACCTTTCATTGGTATCAAAGCCAGATTTCTTACTACCACATTTCCTTTTATTTTCGATCGTTTTCGTGTATTTTTTAGAAAGGAAGGATGCTAGCCAAGAATTTTATAGCTGAAATCTTGAAAACCAAAAGATCTGATGGAACAAATTATTCCTTGTGGAAGTGTAAGATTGGTTATGTGTTCTATGAGGAAGGTCTACATAAATTCCTCACTGAGAATCCACCCCCAGAGCTTAGAGGGAATGCATCCCAGGCCACAAGGGATACATATGCACAATGGGAGTGCAAAAAACATGCTCGCTGGACATATCCTCCTTGCGGTTATGCACGACTCCCACACTTCGAAGTATGAAACCCTAAAAACCGCTAAGGTCATGCAAGAGAAATTCAAGAAAAAATTTGTTGATCCCTTTCTCGTGAGGAAGACTCTAGCTATGAGGAAGTAAAATGACTTGAAGATGGCAAAAGGAGGAAAGATCGCAGAGCACGTGCATATCTTTCAAGCCTTGATTTGTGAATTGGAGGCAATCAACATGAAGCCCATTGAGCCCATGCAAGTGGTTCACCTCTTGAACACTCTCCCCGCCTCATGGGAGGTGTTTGTGTCATCTCTTGCTGCTCGTGAGAGTGCTCCAAAGTTGGAGGAACTCGTGACCCTGCTAAAAGCTGAACAAGAGAGGAAGAATGCTTGAGAAGCATCGACACCCAAGACTCAATGCACATGGTAAACTAATTTCAAAACAAATAAGGGAAAGGGAGAATATAATAATAACAAGAAAAATGATGAAAAGAAAAGGGGAGAGAAAATATCTGAAAATAATAAACCCAGGAAAGTAAAGAGGCAATGTTATAATTGCAGGAAAGTCAATCATATTGCTAAGTTCTGCAAGTTTAATAAGAATAATGCAAGGGCAAATAGGGAACACGCCTGTGTGCTATTCAAGAGCATGTTAACTGATCCCAAGGGTGCATCTTGGTATTTTGACTCTGGTCTACAACTCACGTGTCAAGCACAAAGATGGACACCGCAATTTTAAACCTATTGGTGACGGCAAGCAACATCTTTCTATGGGAGGAAACCAAAAGACTGAAATCTTGGGTGTTAAGCACTATGTACTTAAAATGAAGAATGGAAAAACTAGGGTCCTAAAACAAACACTTTATGCTCCAGAAATGAGAAAGTGTTTGGTTTCGGTCACTAAGTTAGCTAAGGCTAGGTATGTCACCATCTTCTCTGCTAATAAGATGATGGTCAAAAGTTATGGTGAAATTGTTATGACCGATCTCAAGGATGGCCTGTTTTCTATTGAAATGAAAGAACAACTTGCTTATGCCTCGTCTTCCACTTATGAGAATGATGCTTACTTACGGCACATGATATTAGGGCACATTAATTACAAAATTTAAAGATAGATGGTCTTTTAGAAAATTATGATGGCAGCTTAAACCAAGTCTATGAATCACGTGTGTAAGGAAAAATGGTAAAGAAATCGATCATAAAAGCGCAAAGAGCATCTAACGTTTTAGAAATCATCCAGAGTGACATATGTGGCCCCATGAATGTGGCAACCAAGTGCCACAATAAATTCTTCATCACATTTGTTGATGACCACTCGCAATATGGCCATATTTACCTATTACACTCAGCGTTCAAAGTCCTAGACTGCTTCAAAGAATATAAGGCTGAGGTAGAGAACCAAACAAATCAAAAGATAAAACTCCTAAGGACAGATAGGGGTTCCTCACAACTCTTTAGAGATATGTGTATAGAGCATGGCATAATAAACCAATATACAATGCATTCCATCTACTTTGTCTTAGTCCGGCTAATTCTAAAACCTTCAGATTCTAAAGCATCCCTCCAAAGTTCTTTGTGTTGACGTCGTTTCGGGTCTCATCGATCAAAACTATATCATCCGCAAACAACATACACCACAGTACCTCATCTTGTAGGTGCCTTGATAAGTCGTCCAAAACTAAGACAAAGAGGTATGGGCCCAACGCTGAACCCTGATGTAGACCTATAGTCACTGAAAACTCGCACGCATCTCCACTAGTTGTTCGTTAGCGCTTCCTTTTACATATCTCCCACCAAATCAATATAGTATCTGGAGACTCGTTTCTTTTCTAACACCCAGCAAATTAAATCTCAAGGTACTCCATCATAAGCTTTCTCTAGATCAATAAAGACCAAGTGAAGTTCCTTTCACTTTGTCCTAAACTTTTCAATCAGTTGCTTAAGTAAGAAAATAACCAAAATTGTTGACCTCCCTAACATAAAACCGAATTAGTTTTCTGATACACTCATTTCATGCCTTAGTCGTTACTCAATCACTCTATCCCACAACTTCATAGTATGGCTTATAAGTTTGATCCCTCGATAGTTTGTACAATTTTGTATGTCTCCTTTGTTCTTCTAAAATAGGTATCACAGCACTTTTCCTCATTTCGTCTGACATTTTTTTTGTTCTTAACAATTTGGTCAGCCAGTTAATGCTAATCTCCTCCATGCACTTACAAACCTGTATCAGATACCATCTGGTCCTAAAGGCTTTCTTTCACTTTCGATATCTCAATCCTACGAATGTATCTATGACCTCCACCCTTATTTATGCTGATGGTTCCTTCTACAACTATGTTTAACTAATAGGAGCCTATCACCTACTCTCTTGATATTAACTATTTTATCTTTTAAATCTTTGTCTATTATTATACCTACATCATGTATATTATTATTCTTTCCTATATACCAAAGTTTATACCCATCTATTTCCTTAGCTTTTTCCCCTTTCCACTTAGTTTTCTACAGACAAGCTATGTATACTCTCATTTATCTCATTGTATCCACTAACTTCACACTCTTACCTGTAAGCGTTCCTACATTCCATATGGCTAGATGAATCCTATTCTCATGGACTAGCTTCTTTACCCGCCCTCATCCAAAGTGTCGCAAAAACCCTTGCCTATTTTTCATCTCAACTGGGTGGCGCTCCAGCGCGTCACTTCTAGGGAATGCCCAAACTAACCCTTGCTTATTTCTCATTGTACCCGGGTTCCAATACAGCACGTTGCTTTCAAGGAACTCTTAACATAAACAAATAATATAGATTCAGAATTCATAAAAAGTTTTGGCAAGGTTTTACATTAGCTGCCTACCTAGTACAACCCATCTCCTTTTCCCAGGCTTGGGACAGGTTAAGGGAAAGTTTAAGGTCCTCACCCTTCTTAGACCAAGTGTGACTCTCTCTTGTAATCTTTAAATCTCTTTGTATGTGTTCCTAATGCTTAAAAAACACATTGTTAAACTGATGTTACAGCACATTGTTACATGCACTTTTGGACAAAATTTAAACAAAAAAATATTATGTTATTTCTCTCATTAATTGTACTCGCTTTCATTTTCACTAAGAAAAAAAACACATTCAAAATAATATCACCTCAACTAAGTAATATATTGAAAATAAATTTAGGAATTCTCACACAACTTGCTTTTTTTGCTAGTGTTAGAACTTGTAGGCAACTTATGAAATAGATTTGGCTTTGGTTTGATTCCAGGTATTAGAACATTGGACATCACAAATAAAGTCTCATTTTCAAGTATATACTATATACATAACAAAACAAAACTCATTTTCAGGTATGTATAAGGTATTATTTTTATGTTTTGTAAACACAAACACGAATTCCCTAGAGGACTAGAGAAACATTCTATTATTTAAAATTTATTATTAGTTAACATATCATCGGTGTCTAAGAACTCTATGGATGTCTACAAACTATACTTATCATTAGTCTTAAATTCCGAGAACCCAAAATAAATATCTTGTTTTATTAATTTTCATTATTAATAAATTAAATACTTTTACTTTCTTCATTCAACCTAGAACCTAAGTGAACCTCAAATCCAGTTTTATGGTCAATAGACCTTGATTCCAATAATTGTGGGAACAGTGATTAAGGCCACTCAACACGTCGATTTCAAAACCAAGGGAACCTTTGTTTAGGTCTTTAGGACTGTTGAGGACCTTGATTGCAATACTAGGGGAATCTTGGCTAAACGTACTCAATAGATCGACTTCAATACTAAGGGATTCTTGGTTAACTATACTCTAAAACCTCCAACGATTTGCCCTCTGAAACTTGTTTCTTGGTGATTTCTGACACGGTTCCAAGTGGTTAGGGTGCGCAATTTGAAAAAAGGTAGGAATCTTGATTCCAAATTGGTTGGAGCACGATTAGCAAAAAGTGGGAATCACGATTCGTCCAATACAAGTTGTACAGACGGCGCTTCCTACCATAGGAATCTTCTACTTGCACGCAATTTCATACTTCAATTCCTAATAGGCTTCCAAATCTCCTCCAACAACTCTGTGAGAAACCAGCTTTCTTAAAGAAATTGATGACCCTAAACAATGGAAGATGCATTATGAAAAGAGGCATCACTTTTATTGTTGGAAAAGGTAGAAATGTGAGTTGGGCACTTGGCAAGTTTAAACGTTATGCAATCAAACATGATATTACCATTAGAAGCAAACCTATATGACACTCATAGCTCATACCAGTGTACAGAAACTCCATCACAATCTAGTTCTCATGCCAAAAGAAACTAAGTTTGGCACATAATTGACATTTATAATGAAAAGATATCATGTTGGGATAACTTTTTCAATTTCTAAAATAACTATACCAGAATCTCTAGCCAGTCGAATTGCAGGTCCTATGGTATACTGTTAATGTTTTCTCTCTTATGGCCCGGTCTCAAGTTCGAACCTTGATGCCGTCACAAAACCATTTTAGCTATATTTAAAAGCTAAGTTTCTTTGAAAACTAAAAAAGTCAAGAGAGTTCACTCAGTTTTGGCTCTGTCTGAGTCAGGGATTGAGTTCAAGTTGTTCGGACCAATTCATATATTCCAATGATACCAAATACATATAACTGTGAATGTAAAGGCACTGAAGTCCAAGTTGTCATGAAAGATAGATAAAGTGAAGCTAAGAAAATCTATGCGAAGATACAAATCAAATAATACACTACGATGAACTAAGCATTAGAAAAAGAATTATTCAACTGGCAATTTGGTGATTTGGTTCCAATCCAAAAGACACTAAGCAGATGGTGATAATCGAAGATTCATTGATAGGGGATGCTCCTCTTCTTGTATCACCTTTTCTCTTGCTTAATACAGTTAACATTTTTGAAAGAAAAAGATAATCAAAGATTCATTCAAGGTTTTCGGTATGAAGTTTTGTATCCTTTATTAAGAGAAAGGCCTCTATTGACAACTTTTAATAATGTTTGAGTGGCCTATCACTTTCATAATACCATTTATGTGCTACTAGGAGCCTGTTTATTGCAACTCATTAAAAATTGCAGATTATATTGATGAAAATGCTTCTGCACTGATATTTTAATATCCTGTGATAGCTCAAATAACTGTTGAGCTTCTCTGCTGGAAGAACTCAAGAAGAAATTTCCAGTGGGTTCATTGCTCCAGCGATTCTCTTTCTAACAACACTACCAAATCATTCCTTAACTACTGAACCAGTAAGACAAAAATGTAAGTCCAATTCTTGAAACACGGTTTAGCAATAAATCGAAACTTATTCATAGTGGTAAGTTACCCATCAAATTTGTCTAGTAGAAAAAAATACTAAACTATTGTAGCATGAGTGGTAAACAAGGTGAAATATACTCATTGCATGTGAGATAATCTATCAGAATGTGAAGAATCAAAATCCATCTTCAAATCTCCAGTAAAATGAAATGCCAACACAGCTACATATGCATATCGTTCTGTTTTCTTTTTTGTGGTTTAATATGGAACCATTTATTGAAAGAGTATGTTGAATACTACATTGAAGTGTTATCCTTCACACCTTTGATGAAAGCTTCATTTTGTCAAGAGCATTTGCAATTGCTGAAAGTCTAGAATTGCATTCTGGGTGAGATTCCTGCAGAAATCCATCCACCATAACATGTAGATTTCCTAAGGCAAACGGAGTAGTAAAACCAAAAACTTGTAAGAATTCATTGGTAGATATACCTCAATTTCCTACCTAAAATTCCCAACATCCTAAAGAGATGGTAAAAAAATCAAAGCTGTGCGCACCAAGATCATGAAAAATATTAATTTGCAAAGTCCACAAGCATGGACAAAATTGTCTCCCTCCCCCACCCCCAATCCCCTAGACAAAAAAAAAACACATTAGAACCATTTTACATGGTTTAAAAATCAAAAATTTCCAACTTCTGATTTTTCTCTTGAATCCAAAGCTTTTGAAAAAAATTAAGAGATTACTTTGGCTATCCCTTGAGATTCTTTTAGGCATTAATAGGATGGTATTTGGGTGAAGATTCACCAACTAATCAATGGTTTTCAAGGGCTAAGTAGAAACCAAAATTTCTTTTGATTGTATGGTAAGTTTTTCCTTTCCTAATGCTATTTTTTGGCGGGCTCATCTTCAAGTAACAAGGATCCAGCTTGGAAATATGCCGAACCCTAAAACCATAAGAATCAAAATTGCGTCATTTGTTTCTTGAGAATTGACTATCTTCTTTCTCGTATGTCATAAACTTTTGATCATTACCTCTTTGGAGTTTAAACTTTTGGATATTTTACATGATGGAATGGATTGCTTGATTTACATATTAATTGCATTAGACATTTAAACCATTAAATGTTAGAAGTTAAAACAACAAACTCTATTACTCTTTATTAAGCTATCAGAAGGCTCAGAGTCTCAAACAGCTAATATATTGGAGATGATGAATAAATTAAAGGGTTATGTTAGGGCACTCAAACATATGAGTATTTCTTTAAGGTACTCAACATTTTTTGACACTTGATACCCTTACCCTACTATGCAGTAACTTTTTTGTTTAGGAGCATTTAAAGTAATTAATCAGTGGTAAAGTAGAAATTGTTGATAGAAAGAGAATCATTTTATTAACTATAGTAGATGATGACATCATCCACATGAGGTATAACATCACTCACATGGATCAATGATTGCTTCTTAACCATAGATCAATGCTTGCTTCTTAACCACTAGTAAAATGTCACTTGTTTCTTATAGAAATATATATCCTAACCCTCCCAATGATGAAAAATGTCGTAACTTAAAAAATTTTGTATTACATGACAAGGGGCAATGAATGTCCAAAAATGTTGAGTACATTAACAAAATACTCATATGTTTGAGTACCCTAACAAAACCCTAAATTAAAATACCCACTATCATTTAAATCACATTTCAATTTTTCTATGTATTATTATAATTTTTAAGATTTTTTAAATTTTTTAAATTTATTGACTCATCACCACATCAAACTCCCAACTGCACTGGGTCCACATCCCGCATTTCAAACCATTGCATTGATTGTATCGCCATATCGGACTCCCGACTGCATTGGGTTTCAAAAAATTGCATGAGACTCCCCAAAAAACAACACGGGGCATAAATGCAACAAAGGATGAAAAGCTTTTTTTTTTGGGTAATTAAGGATGAAAAACATTGATTTATATTAGATGCATCTGCATGGTTAAAATATGGGAAGTCTCTCCACATGCACGTCACATTCTAATCTAGAATGATTATAATCACATGAGAATTACAAATCATCTTATCAAAGAAAACAACGGAAAGTTACTAATCATGGAATTAGTATGCATTATCTTAAATCATATAAAGGAGAAAGTAGCAAAGTTGCTGGCATAAGCTGATAATGTTATGTCCGAACAAAGTAAGATGAGAAAACAAAGGGACTACCATGAAGCATTTTCAAAGATGACAAACTGTATCAAATAAGAATTCATTTTACCTGGTTATGGCCCAAGGCAGGTGCCAAACAGTACAGAACTTGTGCATCAACTAACTTAATTGCAGAAGAAAAAGAGGCATTACTTGTAGCACTGCTTGAGCATACAGTCAAACTTTTGATCAATGTAAGGTGTATCCTTTTGGATCTCTGAAACTTTAAGAACCGTACCCCAAATACAGAGTATTTATTTCCTAGAACATAGGAGAAATAAGTATTTAGTTCACAAGCATTTGACCCCATCAAAAAACAAAGATGACCTATGAAATTCAAACATCATCTCACAGAACTACATTAAACCACCAAGAAGACCTACACTAGCCAATAGAAATTCTTAAACTGATGTTTTATCCAAGTGAGACAACTTTTACTTGAGAGAAATGCTTCTTGTGTATATACTCTATAGAACTACTTGAGAATCAAAATTCGAACGTTTAAGTCAATAATGCAGCATGCTTCAGACTGCACTTGCATAACAAGGATTCAACAACCAACAAACAAAATCCAAAATTTTCCCCACAGAAAACTACCTTACCCGGCACTTGTTGATTTTGACACCCTCGGCTCAAATTTTGGAATATACCAAACAAGCATTAAACAGCAAACAAAAGTACAGAAACATTTTTCAAATGAAAGCTGCAATAAAACAAAGGCTCTCCTGCCATTTATTAAAGTTGGGTTTTTGTTTTAGGATTGAGTTGAAGAGGAAATATTATTACGTACCTGCACAGAGAGAGGAGGTTACAAGAAGCATCTTGATCAGCTCCTTTTCCTAAAGCTCTGTTAGTTACACATAATTTTATTCTTTTCTGTTCTAGAATTTGAAACAAGGGGAGAATGGGATGAGAATTCCTTAACACAGCCTGTAATGAACGAGAAATGTGAGTGGAGGAGACAGTTAGCTACCAGATAATAATATGCGCATATAAATTTGGTGGCCCCGTGGCACCATATGTTATATTTATTGATTGAGTAATGATCCTAGGACCTCCCCATCCATGTGTGCAGGAAGGATCACCATTAAGAGGTGGTATGGATACGCAGAAAAGTTATCACATTGGTAGGGGACTAATTTTTCCATAGAAATGTATCAAATTTAATGGTGATTCTTTGAGGTCCTACACATAAATATAAAAAAGAGTTGTATAGGATCATTTATTATTTTGTTTTTATTGGGAAAACATCACTAAAATCGTCAAATTATCTACGAATGTTATAGTTTTTGTTATTAGATGAGAAATGATCTAACCCGCCCGCACCCATGTGTATAGGACCCTAAAGGATCACCATTAAATTTGACACGTATATGTAGAAAAGTCAAGCCTCACACTCATGTGATAACTTTTTTAGAGATCTGTACCAATTTTAATGGTGATCCATTGGGGTCCTACACATATGGATGGAGGAGAGTCCTATTATCATTACTCTTATGAAAATACCTAAAACTTTATGGTATAACTCAGATGTCCGTTTTTTCAATTTCATAACAATTTTTTTTAAAAAAAAACGAAACTGCATATTTTCAGTTTTTGAAAAACCCGAATTTTTTTAGTTAGTGCTCTCTAACTCATCATGTTAAAATAATTTTAATAATAATAATAATAATAATCGTCAAATTATCTACGGATTTTATATTTTTCGTTATTATGAAAATACCTAAAACTTTCTATTATCAGGCAGTTGTCCGATTTTTCAACTTCATAACATTGTTTGTAAAAAAAAATGAAACAGCACATTTTCGGTTTTTGAAAAACCAAATTTTTTTAATTAGTGTGCTTTGTAACTCATCGTGTTAAAAAAGTAATAGTAATAATAAAATAAGGTAAATATATAATAAAATACCTACCTAACTTCTATCATTGTTACTCAAATAATGTTTTGGTAAGAGCATATGGATTTCTTCAAGAGGTTTTTAGTATCCTGACCATTCCATGATAGTTTTTTTTGCTTTTTAATAAAATAAAAAACATCTATTTTCATTTAAAAAATTAGACTGAGCATGACAGGATTTGAACCCTTGACATGAAAGTGTAAAGGTATACATGATAACCGAAAAGCCATACCTATTCTATGATTGGGGCTTTTTTCAATTAAAAAAAAAAGAATCTTTTTGTATTAAAAAAAGATTGTGAATATGGGGGGACTCAAACCCTTGATGAGAAAGTGTACAGGCATGCATGATAACCAAAAAACCAATTCAACCCCAAGTTTAGATATATGAGCATACATAATATTAATATTTAAAAAGTTTGGTTTTTGAAATTCGGCTTTTGAAAAACCGAAAATTAAAAAAAAACTCGGTTTTTCAAAAACTAAAAATGGGCAGTTTCGTCTTTTTTTAAAAAAAAAAAAAAGTGTTACGAAGTTGAAAAGATGAACATCTGTGTAATAACGAAAAGTTTCAGGCCTTTTCGTAATAACAAAAAGTATAACAGATATTTATGTAATTTTTCCAATTAACTATATAAAAAATTAATGAAGTAGAAAAACTCGGTGGTTTAAAACCCGATCCAATGAACCAGCTAGGAAACTAGTCCAGAAAGATGCATATGGAACGAGAAGATCGAGACAAGAAGAAGAAACATTAAAGAGGAGTTAACAAGTTATCATCTTTTTTTTGACAAATATTTTTTTTTAAGGACATAATTTTTTTTATTTTTTAAAGAAAATTGTTTCATGCGGGCTGGACTGCATTTCTACGCTATGCGGTCCAGAAGTATAAAGCATACATCCTCTCCTTCAAATATCCGCTCTCTTCCCCACCTTGGTCTATCCCTCCCCGATCCTACCACCGTGCCTCTAGCTCCGGACGCTCCATCCTACACTCTCTCCCCCTCTTCAAACAGCGTATCCGCTTCGCCCCCAAGGACAGGTCAAGCATCTGCTTCTGGTTAAACACCTGGCTTATCTCCTCTTCTCTCTCCACTTGTTTCCCATCCCTTTTCCGCCTAGCCCATGATCCTTCTGCTTCTATACTCTCCCTATTTCCCTTGATAGCGGACTTAGGATTTGGAATCTTAACTTCCATCGCACCTTGCGCAACCCTGAATTGCCCGCCTTCCAGGAGCTCTCCCTCCTTATTTCTTCTTTCCCTTCGCTTAGGAGGGGTGAAGACTGGATAGTTTGGATTGCCTCTTCTTTGGGAAAGTTTTATGTGGCTCCCTATACCGCTCTTCCTTCTCCCTTAACCTCGGCACCTCACCTAGCCATTCGGTTATCTCTAAGGCTGGGTCCACCATCATCCCACCTAGAATATAGTTCTTTATGTGGCTTGCACAGCTGACCTCCTCCAAAAGAGAGGCCTATCAATCCCTAATAGATGTGTCATGTGCAAGAAGCCGAAGAGACCAACTTCCATCTCTTCCTCCATTGCCCTATTGTTGTGGCTCTTTGGCAATCCAACCTATCTCTCTTTGGTTGGTCTTGGGTTACGCATGCAAACATCCCTAATCTCATCTCCTCTTCGTCATCTCTTCCTTGGTTGAATGCCGGGGTACTACTTTGAAAGGAAACTCTAGGTGCCACGTTATGGACCATTAGGAAGGAACGAAACAATTGCATTTCCCAAGGGGAGTCTGCCCCTATCCCCAAACTCATTGACTCCATTAGGGGCTCGGTCATTTTCTGGGCCTCTAATCACAAACTCTTCAAAGGCATACCCGGGTCTACTTTTTTGTCCAATTAGACCCACATTCTCAAACGTCGGTGTGTTAGGGTGCCAAGGTTAGGTCTCTGGAGACCTCTGGAGACTAGTGCCGCCAAACTCAACTTTGACTGGTCTTCATTAGGTAACCTTGGCCCGATAGGAGTTAGGGGACTCTTTCGAGACCACCATGGATTACTCCCTCTCCATATGACTAGTCGACTCCTCTTAGGCGGAGGCCACAGCCTTTCTAGAAGTCTTGCAGCGCTTTGATAGGTCTTGGGGTCTCCCTCTCTGGGTGGAAGGAGACTCGCAAAACATCATCTCTTGGGTTTCTAGAGAAGCCCAACCCCTGTGGAGGCCTATGACACATTTTTTATGCTATCTTCAAACTTTGCAGGGATACACCGGTCTTCTAGATTCATATCTGGCTGGAGGCCAACCAGGTTGCTGACGCCCTAGAAAAATAGGGAGCAACCTCCGCTCTTTGTCTAGCCTAATCGTGTTACTGGCCTTCCTAAGGGGCACGCTTCTTCATTTCTTTTTAACCTTTAGTTGCCTATTGTATCTTCGAGGCTGCGATCGCTGTTTTTGGCTTTCAATTTCTCTCTCGTCACTTCTCTCTGCGAGGGAAACACGTTTTGTTTCTCGTTTTTTGCCTTTTTAGCCTACTGTATCTTTGGGCCTGCACCCCATATTTTGTTTTATGTTTTCTTTGGTCACTCCCCTAAGTGACTTCTTGCTTTGTACTTCTTTAACCATCAATACAATGTTAATAGTATCCCAAAAAAAAAAAAAGTATAAAGCATCCATCTTAAAGATGGATGCAAATAGGTGGTCCATCTAAAAACAATGGTAACTAACGGTCCAAATATTTTGTTAATATAATTATTATTTTTAGTTTTCAAATTATTATTATTATTTCATATTCATGATCTCCATGTTAAAGATTATATATACTCTGAGAATTGAGATCAAATTATATCTAAAATATATATTTATTGTCAAGCCCGTATTTCTACAATATGCGTGCTAGCTGCATGGAAACCGTGTTCTTCTTGTAATCCTTTAGAATCCCTTTTTTTTGGAAGGCTTATCCTTATCTAGGAAGATTAACTTGGATAGAAAGATAAGCCTTTTCAAAAAGATGCATAAATTATTTTTAGGAGGGTTTCTATTTTTTTTAAAGAAGTATGTGAGATAATAGGAATAGAAAGTTTTGGTTTTTCTTTTTAAAGAAAGGTACAATAGGATGTTGAGGAGGGGGTTTTTAAAATAACTTCAATATAATGGGAGCTTTACTCTTGTTTTGTTTTATGAAGGAAAGAAAATTAGAAGAGACAGAGAGGGGCTTTATTCTCTTTGTCTTCTCTTTTGGTGGTCTGTGATGGAGGTCACAGCTCTCCTCATTGCACTCTTTTCCTGTTGATTTCTCACTCGACTCTTTTCCTCTCTTGAAATGTTGTATCATTGGTTGTTAGCCACCGGTGATTTTCAATAAATTTTTTTGGGTGAGTAAAAAGTAATAAATTAATGAAAGTTTGGGGCCCAACCCTTTGGTGAAAATGGAGTTAGAGACATCATCATGGGGCTCGGCAATACTACCACCAAAGCCCCGTGCCATTCTTGGTGATTTTCAATTGCATCAATAATCAAGTTGCACACTCGCCCATCATAGGTGCATTGTCTGAGAAAAATATTAGATCGCTACCAACAATCATCTTGGGACTTTTATAATATAAAGAACCCATCATGCCAACAACATCTCTCCTTGGTCCATGGGCACATCCTCACCTTGTTCAAGTTGACTAACCTCCTCATTATAAACTGGCTCTCCCAAATCAGCAATTGCCATCTCTTTTATCACACAAACTTCCTCAACTTCAACAATATTAACATTTTGCTGGGCAGTTGCTGGGCACTTTTCTGCCATGTGGCCCATTTTGTTACATATAAAACATTAAACACCTGATTGCTCATTTCTTTAAGCATGCAATCTAGTGTTGTATATATGTACAACTCCCGATTAATTACCCAAGCTACTTTCTCAAGCCAACAATTCCTCGGGTGACATCTGGTAACAAGCAACCTTGCGAATCCTCTTGGTTAAAGAAAATGAGCAATCAGGTGTCCTCAAATCACACGAAAAACTTAAAGGTTCCATATTAGATCCTATAGACCAAGCCATCTGGTGACAACCAACCTTGCGAATCCTCTTGGTGAATCTCATTTGCTTTGCATATCTCATTTTTATCCTTCGCTATCATTTTCTCATATGTTTCTTGAGGAGTTAACATCTTTTTATA